ACTAAAGGGGACTAAAGCAGACTAAAGCAGACTAAAGCAGACTAAAGGAGACTAAAGCAGACTAAAGCAGACTAAAGGAGACTAAAGCAGACTAAAGGAGACTAAAGCAGACTAAAGCAGACTAAAGGAGACTAAAGCAGACTAAAGCAGACTAAAGCAGACTAAAGGAGACTAAAGGAGACTAAAGCAGACTAAAGCAGACTAAAGGAGACTAAGGCAGACTAAAGGAGACTAAAGCAGACTAAAGGAGACTAAAGCAGACTAAAGGAGACTAAAGGAGACTAAAGCAGACTAAAGCAGACTAAAGGAGACTAAAGAAGACTAAAGCAGACTAAAGCAGACTAAAGGAGACTAAAGCAGACTAAAGGAGACTAAAGCAGACTAAAGCAGACTAAAGCAGACTAAAGCAGACTAAAGGAGACTAAAGCAGACTAAAGCAGACTAAAGGAGACTAAAGCAGACTAAAGCAGACTAAAGGAGACTAAAGCAGACTAAAGGAGACTAAAGGAGACTAAAGCAGACTAAAGGAGACTAAAGCAGACTAAAGCAGACTAAAGGAGACTAAAGCAGACTAAAGCAGACTAAAGGAGACTAAAGGAGACTAAAGGGGACTAAAGCAGACTAAAGGAGACTAAGGCAGACTAAAGGAGACTAAAGCAGACTAAAGGAGACTAAAGCAGACTAAAGGAGACTAAAGGAGACTAAAGCAGACTAAAGCAGACTAAAGGAGACTAAAGGAGACTAAAGCAGACTAAAGCAGACTAAAGGAGACTAAAGCAGACTAAAGGAGACTAAAGCAGACTAAAGCAGACTAAAGCAGACTAAAGCAGACTAAAGGAGACTAAAGCAGACTAAAGCAGACTAAAGCAGACTAAAGCAGACTAAAGCAGACAAAAAGGAGACTAAAGGAGACTAAAGCAGACTAAAGCAGACTAAAGGAGACTAAAGCAGACTAAAGCAGACTAAAGGAGACTAAAGCAGACTAAAGCAGACTAAAGGAGACTAAAGGAGACTAAAGGGGACTAAAGCAGACTAAAGCAGACTAAAGGAGACTAAATCAGACTAAAGCAGACTAAAGCAGACTAAAGGAGACTAAAGCAGACTAAAGGAGACTAAAGGGGACTAAAGCAGACTAAAGGAGACTAAAGCAGACTAAAGCAGACTAAAGGAGACTAAAGGGAACTAAAGCAGACTAAAGGGGACTAAAGCAGACTAAAGGAGACTAAAGAAGACTAAAGGAGACTAAAGCAGACTAAAGGAGACTAAAGCAGACTAAAGGGGACTAAAGGAGACTAAAGGGGACTGACTGGGACTAAAGGAGACCAAAGCAGACTAAAGCAGACTACAGCAGACTAAAGGAGACTATAGCAGACTAAAGCAGACTAAAGCAGACTAAAGGAGACTAAAGGAGACAAAAGGGGACTAAAGCAGACTAAAGCAGACTAAAGGAGACCAAGGCAGACTAAAGGAGACTAAAGCAGACTAAAGCAGACTAAAGCAGACTAAAGGAGACTAAGGCAGACTAAAGGAGACTAAAGGGGACTAAAGCAGACTAAAGCAGACTAAAGGAGACTAAATCAGACTAAAGGAGACTAAAGCAGACTAAAGGAGACTAAAGGACACTAAAGGAGACTAAAGGGGACTAAAGCAGACTAAAGCAGACTAAAGGAGACTAAAGAAGACTAAAGCAGACTCAAGGAGACTAAAGGAGACTAAAGGGGACTAAAGCAGACTAAAGCAGACTAAAGCAGACTAAAGCAGACTAAAGCAGACTAAAGGAGACTAAATCAGACTAAAGGAGACTAAAGCAGACTAAAGGAGACTAAAGGACACTAAAGGAGACTAAAGGGGACTAAAGCAGACTAAAGCAGACTAAAGCAGACTAAAGGTAAGTGTTGTGGGCGGCACGGTGGCTGAGTGGATAGCACTCTCCTGGGTTCGAATCCCGGTCGGACCAGGGCCTTTCTGAGTGGAGTTTGCATGTTCTCCCCGTGTCTGCGTAGGTTTCCTCCGGGTACTCTGGTTTCCCCTACCACTAAAAATATGTCCAATAGTTCAGGCATGCGCCTCCTGTACTGGCCCTGCTCCCATCTCTGTGTGGAGTGAGAGACAAATGCCCAAAATTAACAATTGTAAACCGCTTTGAGACTCAGATCTGCAGTGAAAAGGCGGTATATAAATAAAAACTTACTTACTAAAGGAGACTAAAGCAGACTAAAGCAGACTAAAGGAGACTAAAGCAGACTAAAGGAGACTAAAGCAGACTAAAGCAGACTAAAGCAGACTAAAGCAGACTAAAGCAGACTAAAGGAGACTAAAGCAGACTAAAGCAGACTAAAGCAGACTAAAGCAGACTAAAGCAGACTAAAGGAGACTAAAGGAGACTAAAGCAGACTAAAGCAGACTAAAGGAGACTAAAGCAGACTAAAGCAGACTAAAGGAGACTAAAGCAGACTAAAGCAGACTAAAGGAGACTAAAGGAGACTAAAGGGGACTAAAGCAGACTAAAGCAGACTAAAGGAGACTAAATCAGACTAAAGCAGACTAAAGCAGACTAAAGGAGACTAAAGCAGACTAAAGGAGACTAAAGGGGACTAAAGCAGACTAAAGGAGACTAAAGCAGACTAAAGCAGACTAAAGGAGACTAAAGGGAACTAAAGCAGACTAAAGGGGACTAAAGCAGACTAAAGGAGACTAAAGCAGACTAAAGGAGACTAAAGCAGACTAAAGGAGACTAAAGCAGACTAAAGGGGACTAAAGGAGACTAAAGGGGACTGACTGGGACTAAAGGAGACCAAAGCAGACTAAAGCAGACTACAGCAGACTAAAGGAGACTATAGCAGACTAAAGCAGACTAAAGCAGACTAAAGGAGACTAAAGGAGACAAAAGGGGACTAAAGCAGACTAAAGCAGACTAAAGGAGACCAAGGCAGACTAAAGGAGACTAAAGCAGACTAAAGCAGACTAAAGGAGACTAAGGCAGACTAAAGGAGACTAAAGGGGACTAAAGCAGACTAAAGGAGACTAAATCAGACTAAAGGAGACTAAAGCAGACTAAAGGAGACTAAAGGACACTAAAGGAGACTAAAGGGGACTAAAGCAGACTAAAGCAGACTAAAGGAGACTAAAGAAGACTAAAGCAGACTCAAGGAGACTAAAGGAGACTAAAGGGGACTAAAGCAGACTAAAGCAGACTAAAGCAGACTAAAGGAGACTAAAGCAGACTAAAGCAGACTAAAGCAGACTAAAGCAGACTAAAGCAGACTAAAGGAGACTAAAGGAGACTAAAGCAGACTAAAGCAGACTAAAGGAGACTAAAGCAGACTAAAGCAGACTAAAGGAGACTAAAGCAGACTAAAGCAGACTAAAGGAGACTAAAGGAGACTAAAGGGGACTAAAGCAGACTAAAGCAGACTAAAGGAGACTAAATCAGACTAAAGCAGACTAAAGCAGACTAAAGGAGACTAAAGCAGACTAAAGGAGACTAAAGGGGACTAAAGCAGACTAAAGGAGACTAAAGCAGACTAAAGCAGACTAAAGGAGACTAAAGGGAACTAAAGCAGACTAAAGGGGACTAAAGCAGACTAAAGGAGACTAAAGCAGACTAAAGGAGACTAAAGCAGACTAAAGGAGACTAAAGCAGACTAAAGGGGACTAAAGGAGACTAAAGGGGACTGACTGGGACTAAAGGAGACCAAAGCAGACTAAAGCAGACTACAGCAGACTAAAGGAGACTATAGCAGACTAAAGCAGACTAAAGCAGACTAAAGGAGACTAAAGGAGACAAAAGGGGACTAAAGCAGACTAAAGCAGACTAAAGGAGACCAAGGCAGACTAAAGGAGACTAAAGCAGACTAAAGCAGACTAAAGGAGACTAAGGCAGACTAAAGGAGACTAAAGGGGACTAAAGCAGACTAAAGCAGACTAAAGGAGACTAAATCAGACTAAAGGAGACTAAAGCAGACTAAAGGAGACTAAAGGACACTAAAGGAGACTAAAGGGGACTAAAGCAGACTAAAGCAGACTAAAGGAGACTAAAGAAGACTAAAGCAGACTCAAGGAGACTAAAGGAGACTAAAGGGGACTAAAGCAGACTAAAGCAGACTAAAGCAGACTAAAGGAGACTAAATCAGACTAAAGGAGACTAAAGCAGACTAAAGGAGACTAAAGGACACTAAAGGAGACTAAAGGGGACTAAAGCAGACTAAAGCAGACTAAAGCAGACTAAAGGTAAGTGTTGTGGGCGGCACGGTGGCTGAGTGGATAGCACTCTCCTGGGTTCGAATCCCGGTCGGACCAGGGCCTTTCTGAGTGGAGTTTGCATGTTCTCCCCGTGTCTGCGTAGGTTTCCTCCGGGTACTCTGGTTTCCCCTACCACTAAAAATATGTCCAATAGTTCAGGCATGCGCCTCCTGTACTGGCCCTGCTCCCATCTCTGTGTGGAGTGAGAGACAAATGCCCAAAATTAACAATTGTAAACCGCTTTGAGACTCAGATCTGCAGTGAAAAGGCGGTATATAAATAAAAACTTACTTACTAAAGGAGACTAAAGTAGACTAAAGGAGACTAAAGGAGACTAAAGCAGACTAAAGGAGACCAAAGCAGACTAAAGCAGACTAAAGCAGACTAAAGGAGACTAAAGGAGACCAAGGGAGACTAAAGGAGACTAAAGTAAAGGAAACTAAACTAAAGGAGACTAAAGCAGACTAAAGGAGACCAAAGGAGACTAAAAGAGACTAAAGGAGACTAAAGTAAAGGAGACTAAAGCAGACCAAAGGAGACCAAAGGAGACTAAGGGAGACTAAAGCAGACTGAAGGAGACTAAAGCAGACTAAAGCAGACTAAAGCAGACTAAAGTAAAGCAGACTAAAGGAGACTAAAGGAGACTAAAGCAGACTAAAGGGGACTAAAGGAGACTAAAGCAGACTAAAGTAAAGCAGACTAAAGCAGACTAAAGGAGACTAAAGCAGACTAAAGCAGACTAAAGGATGTGTTTGCACCTGTTTTGTCGTGAGTCAGAGCTTCCACTTTGTGTTCAGTGACAGAGGAGCTGGTCTGCAGACGCTCCAGTGCAGCCTCTTGAGCTGATTCCACACAGACAGAGTTAGAGCCAACGCCTCCAGGTCTGAACAACACTTTTATATCCACAAACCTTTGTCGTTGTTTTGGAGGGAGTCCACTTCTGTTTGGAGCGAGTCCACTTCTGTCCTCGTGGCTGTAGAGGAAATAAAACTGTCAGAGCTGAAAAGCACAGTCTGTGTCTTTAATCATGTCAAAGGCACATCTGACTCTGTGACAGGTGCAGGCTCCGCACACAGCTCTGACAACTTCAAAAGGAAGAAAAACAACTCTCACACACTTTACTTGCAAACACCAGTCATTTTTTATTTTCATCGGTAAATAAATACAACACTGGTGTCTGCAAGTTGGGGCCAGGACTCCCCTGAAAATGACGTTCTGAAATCTCAGTGAGACTTTCTTAGTTAAATAAGTCCATGCATAATAGAACATAAACACAACTTATTCATGGCTGCCATTAAATTATGTTCAACACATGATTCAAAAGATATTTACCCTTGTTCTCCTGCTGCAGATGTCTGATCTCCACTTTGTTCTCCTGCTGCAGATGTCTGATCCCCTCCTGCAGATGTCTGATCCCCTCCTGCAGATGTCTGATCTCCACCTGCTGTGCAGACAGTGCAGCGCTCATCTGTCTCAGCACTGACTCAATGTCAAACGTAGAGAGCTCAGAAGACTCAGACTTTTGTCCAGAATCATCCAAACAATTCCCCTCAAAGAGAAAAGAGGAACTCAGCAGCAGCACCAGGAAACCAGCCGTGTCCATGGTCCACTGGAGGAGTGAGGCCTGTGGAGGTGTGTGGAGGTCTGTGGAGGTCTGAGGAGGTGTGTGGAGGTCTGTGGAGGAATGAGGTCTGTGGAGGAGTGAGGAGGTCTGTGGAGGTCTGAGGAGGTCTGTGGAGGTCTGAGGAGGTCTGTGGAGGAGTGAGGAGGTCTGTGGAGGTCTGTGGAGGAGTGAGGAGGTCTGTGGAGGTCTGTGGAGGAGTGAGGAGGTCTGTGGAGGTCTGGTTTTATACCCTCTGACTGCTCACGGCCGAGGACACTGTTGTAGATAAGAAGGTTTAATCTCATTTACATTTCTACATCAGAACAGATGTTATTTATCCACCGTTCACACAGGTTTATGTAACACTCTTTACACAAGTAAGTAATCTTTATTTATGTACCGCCTTTCACAGACCAGAGTCACAAAGTTTACAATTGTTATTTCATCAACATTTGTTACACACAACACTTGTTACACACAACACTTTATTATGAACGTGTGAGACCCAGATCCGACGTTAGAACCTTCTGCTGTTGATAAATGCCGCGGTGAAAACTATCGTATTTATGAAAGTCACGCCTATAATTATTCAGAAACCGCCCGTTTTTACGACAGATCAGCAGGAAGTCGGCCACGAAGACTGTTTGGAAGCCTCAAAAAGCCTTTGGCACGCACTCCTGAGTTTATTCACCTTTGTTTAAAAATAAATATATGTGTTTTTTCCTAGTGTCTAGTTCCACTGCAGCACTCATCTCTCTTGAACTTTAGAAGTCAATAAATAAATAAATAATGAATGAATAAATGTTAATATCTCGGCCTCAGCGGTGGCTCTCATCATGAACCGGGTGAAGCGTCTGAGCGATCTCTGGGAGAGAGAAAGATACGTATGAGAAGCTTTTGGAAAGTGTCCGTGATTTCACAGAGAATCTTTGAATCAAAATGTCTGAATGGTGCACACCACATTTGAGCAGTGATGCGGTGGGACCTGTCCTGGGACCTGTCCTGGGAGCAGGATCAGGTATGTTTATGAGGCTTTAAGCACAAAACTAAGGAAAAACCACATTGCTTTGCCAGAGGTGAATGAGGCAACACATGTGCGTAACTACACAGCGCAGGGTCGGCCACAGATTTACGGAGTTAGTAAGTCAAGTGTATTTGTTTAGCGCCTTTCACAGACCAGGATCACAAAGCACTTCACATTAAAAAAACTTAGAGAAGAAAATAATACACACAAGTCTTTTGATTTAAAACCAAAGAAACAGAAGAGGGTCCTCATCATGAGTTTTTCTGATGCGCAAATTCAAAGTTAGAAATGTGATGCTCAATGAAAACGCAGCTTATAATTTTGCCAGAATGGGAATATGTTTATTGTTGTCCAAATGTTGAATTTCATGCGTGTTTAGGCGTGTTGTGATGAGGGTTGAGATGGGTGTAAAATGTACACCACCTCCTGATTCTGTGTATATTTTGTGCGTACCGTACGCCCACGTCCAGATTGATAAATGCTGAAAAGTGCATATCAGTGAATTTCACTTATACTGGTAGGTACAGTCTGAGAACACTGACTGTCATCACTTAAAACACTTGGCTGCATCATTTAGAGTGTCATATCCTTAGGTGTGAGTCCCTTTAATGCTGTATGTGTGACAAAGTTGTTACCTGTTGTTGCTTTATTGAAGCAGATAAATCTAGGGTTAATGAACATATTTGCAGTTTGATGTTTTGTAGTGCTGTGGAAGAAAATGCTTGTCCCAGAGTTATTTACCTGCTGTTTACAGCTCTGGTCTATATTGCTCTTGTGTGTGTTGAGTGGTATCCCTACAGTTGTCCTAACCAAACATACATCCATTTTCTTTCCCCCATTCCTGGGTCCGGGGGTGACAGTCAGAGCTGCACCCAGTCCACAGAGCACCCCTCTCTGATCCTCCTGCAGGTGCTGAGTCCACAGGAGCCTTGATTGTTCAGCAGGGGCTTCAGGCAAAGTGGGGTTAAGTGTCTTGCCCAAGGACACAACGACAGCAGTCATCAGTGGGAGTCATGAAGTAAGTCTTAGTATGAAGCAGGATTACTATTACAACAACACATGATCAGTAGGGTAAAACTAACCTGTCTGACGACGGTCTACTGTTACTAACCCACGACCTTCAGGCTCTAAGGCCGATGCTCTACCAACATGTCACAGCAATAGAATAGATGTGCTTCACTAGTTTGTCTAAAAAGTTACTTCTTTCCATCATTTCATCTCCCTTGATGGATTTGAAGAAACTGTTTAAAATGTTGAAATATATATCTTAACGAGGAACAGGGGGTACAGATTATGTTTGCGGTCTCAAAGGGGGCACAAGCACTGGTATACAGAAACAGCTTTTAATTACTTCACAAAGGAAGGTACCTGAAAGCACATGGAAGCATCGTTTGTTGTTTTAATATTCTAATTCATCTCTCTTAATGTTTCAGAGTTGTTTCATCAAGGCGGATCACAGCAGTGAAGAAGCATCTGAGGCCTTTCATTGGTTTAACTGCCACCATTCAGCAGTGACATAAGGTCCAGGAAATGGAACACACCGTCTTGGAGAGTGGATCCATTCAAGATGTGACAGATTTTGAGGTTTGGCCTTAAAATCCTTATTAAAAACAATTTTTTTCTGATAAAACACATTGAAAACATGAATTTCCCACCTTTGCAATGTGTTTTTGTGTTATAGATAAGTAATAAATTAGTAAAATAACTTTTTATACCAACGCCTCTGATTGGCCAGAAAAATGATGACGTACTTGTTGGGGTCGCAGCTCCCGCTTCACTGTTGATGGCATTGCTCCTGCTGCCGCTTTGATACAAATACACCTTAAAATGGGTGTTTTTTGTATGGCCCCGGGATGCGGCAATGAAAGTTACCAAAGGAAGAGTGTAAACGATATTTGACTTATTCAGAGAAGGCGACGGTCCAAACAAACTGAGAGAAGACACCAGCGCCAGGTCCATGAAACCAGCAAAGACCAAAGACATGGTCATTGATTTCAGACGCGTCACATCCAGTGACACCAGCGTCATCCACCGTGGGTTTGTAGAAATCATGGTCAGTTACAAGTATCTGGGAACAACGATAGACAACAAACTGAAGTTTGACAAACACTGAGTCTATCATTAAACGGTGGCAGCAGAGAATGTTCCTGTTGAGGAAATTGAACTCTTTTAATGTAAACAGGAAATTTCTGAATCATTTGTATTGTTCTTTTATTAAAAGTCTTCTTAGCTTTTCTTTTATCTGTTTGTTCCAAAGCCTGAGGCTGAAGGACAGAAACAGGTCACAGAGTTGTGAGAACTTGCTCTAAAATCACAGGTGGTAAACTCAGAGACCTTCACTCTCTGTGGGAGGAACAGGTGCTGAATAAAGCTAAATGTATTCTGGCTCAGCCCAAACATCTGCTGATCGCTGACTTTGTATTGATGCCTTCAGGGCGTCGTTTTTATGCTCCAGCACAGAAAAAAAACGTTTCTCCAATTCTTTTGTGCCCTCTGCCATAAAACTGTTGAACTCTGGTCGAGGTGGTTGACTTTTGGGAATTGTGTTGTTCAGTGTTGTTGTGTAACTTATTTTGTGTAACCTGCTGCTGTGTGAACTGTGAGACTCACTGTGTGTTTGTGTAGAGCAGGAGTGTCAAACTTATTTTGGTAGAGGGCCATATAAAAATGAAAGGGCTGGTCAGGGGCCGAAAGAAGTGGGTTTCATTTATTATACTTTTTTATAATATGAAGGTATTTATATAAATGACTTGTTTCACATTAGTTAGATTTCTTTTCTGATTATAATAAGTTCAGTTCCTGTGACTGGACCAAATCTGGACCAAATCTGGACCAAATATGGTCCAGATTTGGTCCATATTGGTGTCACTGCTGGTTCCTTGGTTTGTCGCTAGTGTCACTGCTGGTTCCTTGGTTTGTCGCTGATGTCACTGCTGGTTCCTTGGTTTGTCGCTAGTGTCACTGCTGGTTCCTTGGTTTGTCACTGGTGTCACTGCTGGTTCCTTGGTTTGTTGCTGGTGTCACTGCTGGTTCCTTGGTTTGTCGCTAGTGTCACTGCTGGTTCCTTGGTTTGTCGCTGGTGTCACTGCTGGTTCCTTGGTTTGTCGCTGGTGTCACTGCTGGTTCCTTGGTTTGTCGCTGGTGTCACTGCTGGTTCCTTGGTTTGTCGCTGGTGTCACTGCTGGTTCCTTGGTTTGTCGCTGGTTCGGTCTCTTCCCACATCTCAAACATCACTCCAAATATTTACTCAGTGCAGATGAACCACGCCCAAAGTACATCACGTATTCTGACTCAGCCTGAGCAGCCGGCCACTCGCTGAGGACTCAACTGACAATACACCAAAAAACAAGTAGGAGCCCAGTCTGACAGAGCCCCCGTAGCACCTGGAGGACTCTGTCAGTGCCTTTACACTAACAGCAACAACAGCTAGAATTCTCACGTACAGTATTTCCCAAACAGAAATGAAGTGAAAACAAGGTCATCTGCCGGTCCTCCCCTCTGTCCTGGGCCGGCCTTGGAGAATGAGGAAGTGGGGGGTGAGGGGAACAGGGAGGGCAGGAGGGGGGGGGCAGACATTGGTCCTATTGTCCCGTATTCAGACCCCACCATGAGTCTCCTACTGCCGCTGCGGTGCTGGTGCTCAGAAGCCAAACCAGGACAAGAGCCCGCGCCGGCCGGTTCTGGTTTGGGCAGAGCGGGTCATGTGAGGGGACAGCGGAGAGGTAAGAACTCAGACAGGACGACATGTGACATCACAGACCCACCGGGAGCTAAACTCACACCGTTATCTACTTGGATTACTGCAGAAATGCTAAAACACATCTGGAGTAGTCTTTCATCCAGGCATGTGTCACACTGTTTGAAGAGAGGTGCATGGACTGGACGCACACTATGAAGTACTGTATGTTATTATTAGTATGTCTAGTACTGCACAGACCTTGTTGTACAGTCTGACAGGTGAGTGACGCTTGCCCGC